TTTATAGATGAGATTAAAGGGGAGAGTTCAGTTCAAATCAGTTTTTAGGCAGATAATATTTGGAGGTAACTTCATAATGCTGTATTACGTTGGTGAAGGAAAACGACCCTGGAGACATCATCTGAAGACTGAGGAATAAGAGCAACCCTTCTCCTCCTTTTAGGTGAAGTGAGGTAAACTCAGATTCAAGGGAAACCTGTCTGTGCAGGTAGAGAGGAATTCACTAGGAGAAAATTATATGTGTGTGTGTCTGTGTATATATAAAACTCTATATGTTTGGCATTATGAAGTGCTGTAACAGGATAGATGGGATTTTATAGTTTATGTTAATTGTTCTTAAAAGACTGGTTTTTCTCATATAGTTTGTTTTTCAGCGATGTCGTTTTTTTTCTGAGAGACATAACTGACTGTGGCATGTGATTGTTAATTTTAGAAACATGCCAAAGGACTGTACTTTCATGGTGCAGCAAACAGTTGTTAATGGTTATGAATATCTGGTTTAAGTTCTGAATGTTTGCCCCATTTTTAGCTTGAGGACAGATATGAGAAATAGTCCAACACAAAAGGAACAGTTCACAAAGTTGAAAATGGGATTAGGATATAAATGACACCTAGTAGTGACATACAAGAAGACCATGAACTCAGATGTCTCAGTGTCTCCATAGAGTTACATTATATTATCAGGGAATGAGGTTGCCACATGTGCTGTGATGTAAGAGCCACACATGGCATGAAATTGCTAATGATGCCCAGCAATACAGAGTTGCGTTAAAAGTAGAGCATGAAGAAAAAACAAATATAATTTCTTTTATCAGCTCCCAGGTAATAATGAATGAACTCGAAGATTTTTGCTAGCTCTTCCTTACTCTTTTTTTCCAGGGATAAGAGGGATCAAAGAAACTGGTTAATCATTTCAAGTTCTCCCACATAATAGGTTATAACAATCTTCATCAGACATCCTGCTATCCTGTTATTTTTATTGGTCTCCCTGTTTGCATATCAAGTTGACTTCATATGAATTAATGACACTTCTACAGGAATATATAACATCAGTGTCACAGCATGAGGAATAGCTGATCCTGTATGTCAAGGAGAACATAGGAAATAGCAGGAATTTGATGGGAAACAACCCATCTTCCTATCAGTAGAGATTGTAGACAAGCTGTGGCACAAACATATGTGGCATGGTTTATTTCTCCACCGGAAGAGGATATGCTTTGTCCTAATGGCCCCACCTCACCTCATCTTCAAGGTCAAAATCTCTTACTAACAATTATACATAATTTGTCTGTGATTAGCTAGGCTTGACATCATACCCAGAATTAGAGTGGCTGAGGGAGGAAGGTTCCTTCAGACATCAAGTCAAATCTTCTGATCAAAGCAGGATCAGCTGGATCAGGCTTTTCAGAGTGATGTTCAGATGACTTTGAAAGTCTCCACGAATGGAGACTCAACAATCTCTCTGGCCATCTTGTTTTGGTGTTTGACTACTCTCACAGTTATTGTTTCAGTTTTGTATTCTTAAACCTACCTTTCTGCTATGTTTAAATGGGATTTCCTGTACTTTGATTCGTGCCTATTGCCTCTTATATTTCACTGAGCACTGATGAGGAGAGTCTGACTCTTTCTCTTCTTGTTCCCATTGGGTATTTAGATTTATTGGTAAGGTCCTGTGGAGCCTTTTCTGTTACAAGCTGAAGAGTCCCAGCTGTTTCAGTCCTTCCACATATATCAGATGCCTCCAGCCCCTGATTCTTTGTGACTTTCTGGTGTGCTCACTCCAGTGTGTCTGTCTCTCTCTTGTCCCAGAAATGGTCTCAGCACTTCTGATGTAGCTTTACAAGTGCAGAGTTGACAGAAAGTCAACCTTCCTCTACCTGTTGATAGTGCTCCTTCTAAATGCATCCCAGGGGGCTGTTGGCATTGTCAGCCATATTGATGGCTTATGTTCCACCTGGTGTTTATCAGAATCCCTAGCTTCTTCTCTGCAGAGATTTCCCCAGTCATTTGGCCCCCAGCTTGTTCCAGTGTGTGACATTATTCCCATTCATGTGGAGGACCCGGCATTTCCCTTGATTAACTTCATGAGGTTCCAGCTGGCCTGATCTGTCAGGCACTCCTCCCAGTTTTGTACCATCTGTAAAATCCATACCATAACCCACATTGTTACTAAGATGCTAAACAATATTGGCCTCAGTGTTAGGCCATGGGGTGCACCTCCAGTGGCTGGCTTCCAGCCATACTCTGTGCTGCTGATTACAATTCTTTGAGCCTGGCAGCTTAGCCTGTTTTTAATCAATTTCATTGCCTGTTTGTACAGCCTGTGCTTCCATAGTTTGATGAAGAACTGTCAATAGATTATTTTAAGTATATATTTGTGAAAGCAATGCTCATATGGAAAAATAATTTCAGCAAGTAAACTCAAGAAAAAGTTTTATCGAGGGAAACACTCCAACAAATCTGTAGATGAAACAGTAACAAAAGAGATTCATAAATGCTGTGGCAGATTATTCATGCTCAACACTTCTAGCATTGTCAGCTTTTTTCAGTTGTATCATGAGTCTTATCTTATGCACTGTATCGTTGAAAAGATAGAGCATCTCTATTCTCATTTAGAAGAGATGGAAAGAACAGGCCTTTGCAGTTACAGCAAAAATATTGAAAAGTTCTTCCTGTATCTTATAGTAAACAGATATCAAAAAAGGAGAGCGTTTATGAGTCAGATCAGTGTAGCATTTTTGAAGTACATTACATTGCATCTGCTTTGGTGATTCTGGGGGAAGATGGAGTTGTGTTTTTGGAATGCTTGGCATCAGGAGTGATAAGTGCATTAATGAGAGGAGGGAAAATCTAGATGGCCTGAAGTCATGTGGAGATCTAGGCTTCCTATTGAGAAACTGTAGATCAGAGCTGGTGATACCACATATCAGAATAAGTACTTCATAGCTTGGCAGGCCATCAGATGTTGCAGTGAGGAGAGTTATTTCAGTGTATCAGACAGATTGGTAATTACAGCCCTCCTATACAGTGTAAATAGAATCCTACATCAGTAGTTGCCAAAATCAAGATATTATCCTTTTGCTTCGATTATGTAAGAACCCACAACACTGAAATATTTCTTGTGGAATCACTTTCAAAGACAGAAAGGCAACTTAGATCCTTTGTGCAGAGTTTACTTGGTAGTATTAAGAAATTCCTTCAGATTCAATGTAAAGAGTTATCTGAAGGTCTCCCTGCCAGACAGTCATCACCCTCCAGGGTTATCCTACAACCCCTGACATGGCCTCTAGATTTCAAGTGACACTTTATATTTAGGCAAAAAATTGCAAAGCAATATATCTGAGCACAGACACCAGAACTATCCCTCTTTTAACTTCTGACATGGTACATTTTGCCCATAATTCTGACTGTGTTGCAGACTGCTGGTGAGCACCTGGCACTGCTTGCCTGTGCTTCTCCTCCCACACTCTGTGGGTCTGCCAGCTTCAGTGGGCTGTGAGTGGTTTACAACATTTTATCAGCAGTCAGTGTTTTCACTGCATGCTTACAGAAAACAAGCATTAATGCTTTTGTCCATGGGGTAGGTAGTTTTAGTGATTGATCTGGGACCAGATTTCTCCCTTTCTCCTCTTTTCTCAGCAAAGCATATGTTTACAACAAGGGAAGGATCGGTTGTCTCTGGAAAAGTTATTGTTCAAGATCTCAGAATCTCTTTGGTGTTTACTTGGCTCATGATCTATGGGGTTGGAATCCTTGTAGTAAATGCAAGTTCCTTCCCTTCATCTGCAAGTTGCAAAGCCTTTCTGCCTCTTCATTTTTCCTGAGGAGAGAGGTGGAGTAGGAAATGGCTTCCAGGTCTTTCAGCAAACACCAGGAAAGGATCCCCGGCTTCCTATTGACATACTGAAGGAACAATTGTACTGCTAGTAGATCTTTCCCTTCCTACCCCACCTAAGGAGACAATACTCAAGATGGGTGGGATAATTAACTTTTCTGTCGTGGAAGGTTAATGCGTGCCAGATAATTATTATCTGAATCGGACTCAAACCCTGATTTTTTAAAGATTTCTTATGGAATTAAATTGCAGACATGGAAATGAGAATTTGAAAAAACTAGTTTCTAGATCATATCCTCATCTTGTTTAAGTTTTTTTTCCATATGTAAGGGTTGCATATAAAAATGTTAAGAGCACATACAATCTTGCGCATAGCAGTTATGAAGCAAAGTAGGTCAGCATTAAAAAAAATGCTAGGATTAAGTATGCTCCTGTTATGTTTGTTAGCCCCTATAACCTCCCCTGTAACCTCCCACCTTTCTTGGTTAGTTCCTTTACTGGGGCTGGTACCTTCTTCTCTTGCTATTTCCTTGTTTCAGCTGAAATTCATTTCTTTGCTTACTGCTCATGCCAGTCTGGCATATTTGGTGCTGCCACCCTCAGAGGTCTGGCTGAATGAGCTATGGACCACTATTACCATGGAGACAACTTATATCCAGTTTTTCTTGTTGTCTCTTCTCTGTGCATCATGGAGTCTGAGGCTGAGATGTGTGGAGCATAGGGATTTTTGCTGCTGAGATCTAGCAAACACTTGAAAGTATTTAGTTTGCCATAAGGTGATAGCATGGTCAAATACAGGCAGATTTCTATGTGGCAAATTTCTTCTCCTGCAAATGACCAGGGAGCTGAAAAAAATATTGATAAGGGACAATATAAGGCTTCTGGCTGCTTATATTATTATATCACTGGCTAGGACTGTATTTAAGTATATAACTATTATATAGTTTTGTGCATAACTATTTGGATTCTCTGCTTATTAAAACAGTGTTGCAAGGAACAAGTTATCTTTATCTATCTGTATGATTCCTATCTTCTTGCATCAGCCTGTGGATATGAGAAAGAACTGGCCATCTCTTATCCGTGTTCAAACTACAGAGCACTTATGTGCTTCCATCTTTTGTGCTGTGGTTGCTCTACCAGACATTTTGTGCCTATGTCTCTATAGTAAGCCAGTCTGATTGCTACGTGAGTCTCTGGTTGCCAACTGCTTCAGATGAGAAATTCCAAACAAAAACCATCAAGAACTGCAGAGATCCTGTGTGGAATGAAACTTTCTACTTCTGGATACAGAGAAAAGTCAAGGTACCCAGAGCTCTCATCTCATCTGTATGCAGTTTCTTTTGGTTTAAACCAAAACAGGATGTCAATACTTCTAATGCCTATCTGAGTTTACGTAAAGTTCTAGCAAGCTGAAGTGAACATCTTTGGCTTTTGCTACTTCCTTCCTCACGGCTGCTTTTTGTTTGTAGCCTGAGCTGCTTGCAGAAGGCTGAGAAAACCAATGGCAGAGTGACGTTACAGAGAAACAATGAAGTAAATCTACAAAGCAGCCTTAGAGCAGAGAGGACAGGAAATAAATGCATATCAAAGCCAAGAAGCTATTACATTCTGGTATAATTAATTTTTTAATCTAGTTTAGTACTGCTAATTACGCTATTCTCAATGAACACCGCTGTTTGAAGGTGGAAAGCCCAGGAACAGCGCAAAAAGCCAGACTTGAAAGTTATTAATAATGAAGTGACCTTTACTGCTTCTGTTGATATAGGACAATATAGTACTAATGGTTATCTGTATTACTTCCTAAGATATTGTGCTTGGTGAGTTACTTTTAAGCAGAAATAATGTCCGAAAAGAAATCTCATTTCAGCCTTAATTGATAAGGCTAGAAACTTTTTCTTATAAAAGGAGATTACACCAATTTTCTTACTCTGATGACAATTTGTCATCAATGCTTTTCTATTTATTTCCTCTCTCCAAAGCTGATGCTGAGCATGGGATATTTGCACAATGTTATATTTATTGACGACATGCTAATAAATTGTACATTTTTTTAATTTCTTTTTACAGAATATTCTAGAAATGACTGTTTCTGATGATGACATCTTTCGTGATGATGACCATGCTATTGTTCTTTTTGATGTAGCTAAAATCTCCCTTGGGAAAAGAGTGATGGTGGCATTCCCATTGAATCCACAGGTAAGAACGCAGTCAGAAGTTTAACCAGAAGGGAAAAAGCATAAATGTCTTGAGGTACTAGATTTGATGTCTTGTACCACCAGAAACATGGCAAAATTTCTTAAAATCTTGATAACTGTGCATTAATGGCAAAATTTTCTGTCTTCTCAAATTGCTGTTGGTTTCATCTGGCGCAGATTCTGATCAAGTGCCCAAGCCCCAGAACAAATGAAATTTTAGGGAAGCTTTGAACTTAACTGACAGAAAATGACAGTTTATCTAATCTTAACACAGATTATAAAAACCAAAACAATTCAAGGGCACAATATCCCGTGACAGTTTTCTAAACTTCAAGTTTTAGAATGTTGTTCTCAACATAGGGAAGCTAGCAATTAAGAAGTTGTGAAAAATGAAGGTTTTATAAACATCCTTTGCTCTGCTAGTACAACTGAGATCACCCTTTCCTTAGAGAAGAAAAAGCTGTATCTGTCCTTTAATGCTGACAACAGCAAGCAAGAAACAGAATATTGTTGTTTAATAAAGCATAAAGAAACTGTGCTTGCACAAATAAAGGCTACATTTGCAAACCTCTGCACATGCTGACTGAGAATCTCCCTTTTTTTTTCATTCATTTTCAGGGGAGTCAGGAGCTGGAAGTTGAGTTTCTCTTGGAGAACATGTGAGTAAAACCCCGTTATTATGGAAGCAGCAGCTCAAAGAGAGATTCATTGATGTAGGGAACTGTTCTGTACACTCAGTCTCACCTCAATAGCAAGTCTCCCTTTCTCCAAGCTCGATGTGTGCATCAGCAGATCACTATAAGAAAAAAAATGCCACAGCGTGGAGAATAAGTTCATGATTTTAATTCTACAACATTCTTTTGAAATTGTTATTTATGTGGTTTGGAGGTGACTTTCAGAAGCTGGTGATATGCACTGCAGTAAGTCTATGGGTTCTCTTGGATGGCTCATGGCTGAGGATAATATTGCTACCCAATCTGGGGCATACCTGTAGTACTAAGTTTGTTACAAGCACTTCCCAGGTGCTTTATTGCAATTGAATCATTTCTGCTCTGTAAGCTACGTGGCATCTAGTGAAAATGAAGCATATTTTTACAAACAATAGAAAGGAGCAAGTAAAACCAAAATCTCTCAGAGAAGTACATCTCGTTTAAAAAAAAATCCAGATGATATGATTTATAAAATACATGTTATTTTTGTTTTCTAGCCGGGATCATGCTGAAACCATCATCACAAATGGGGCAGTAGTGGTAAAACATAAAACATTACTTGTTTTGTTTTCTTGCCTTCTTGCCTTCCTTGCTCCTTCCTTCCCTTAGCTGACTTGACAGTAGTGAGAGAAACACTGTAAGTCTTCATTCTTTGGTGACACTTCTATTAGGAGGTTTGTTAGAGGAGGTCAACACAGTTCTAGAGGAGCCTTCAGACTGCTACCATTTTCTTTTGTTTTTTCTGCATCCATAAAATATTACAACTCACTTAGCATAGCACCATCTTACCATATGATAGTGATAGTTAATTCTCTTTCACTGGGTCTATCAGAATCCTTCAGCATGTTTAACCCACACATTCAAGCAATGATCCTTCCAACAGCTGCCAGCACTGGTGTTGAGATGGCTGGATCAGTAACCTAATTCCCTGTCCTGGTCATGTCTGTTACAGTGCCGTGAGCTGGCCTGCTTGGAAGTTGAGTTTGACAGCAGGGTGAAAAAAAAACAGTTTGCAGGTAAGCTTCCTAGTTCTTTAACTATTAGTGATTTTTACCCTCTCTAACAATACCTAGAAATTGCACCAGCTGAATACTAAAGCTTTAACTGACCACATCTAAGGAAATTTGTAAAATCTTTCTAGTAGAGAACGCTGCTTGTTCTGCAGCAGGTGCAGGTTCGAAGTTCTGACTGCTCAGAGAGCCTTGTGCCAGATGAGAAATGATGTAAGGTGCCTGCATGGGAAGTATCTAAAGCCCAAGCTGAGATGCTAAAAACCCCTGCTGTACTATTGCTAACTCCTGAAGAATCTTACCTCCTTCAGTATGATAGTCCCTGGCCTTAAATTTCCTCAGGACCTGTGGCAGATTGACTTGTGCACACGCACAGAAACACCTCATTTTTTGCAGGGGTTAGCCACTCAGCAGCTGGCTCACGCCTGACCCCGGTCAAGAACCAGAATCTAGGAGTTCCTCTGCCCACCTCCCATGAGGGGCTGCATCTGGTACGCAACCTCAGAACATGCATAACACACTCCAGCAGAATTAGCTGAACTCTTTGGATAAATATGGCCAACTACTGCAGAGTCAGGTCTTATTTTAGGGGACTGAGAACTTTTGTTGCTCATTGTTTGGCCAAATATGAAAATATCTTATAGCACGAGGTACCTGGTGGCACTTAATGTAATCATGGAGCTGCAATAGAAAAACAGCTGTCTAAAACTTGCTGGCATTCATATCATACCCACAGCTGCCTTTTTGTTCAGTCTATTATAACGACACAATGACCTGTAGTGTGCGGGCTTGGATCACTTTCAGATGTCAGCTTTCCAGGTACATAGGGAGAGGAGAAGGGGATTTTTTTGAAAATTGCTTTTTTGCTTCCTTTCCCGCTTTTCTCTTTACTTACAATTAAAAGTAACTACTCTGTGCGTTTTATGTCATTGTTTTAGAGAATGAGCTAACGTTTACAGTGAGAGGATCATTTGAAGAAACGCAGAGAGTTTTACTGGGCTCTGGCTCCCGTTCCCCTCTCCCAGATCCCACTCTCTTCCACTATGCCAAATACAAGCAACCCTCATTGGATGTTGCACTCACAAAGAAGAGGAGGATTCCCAGCTTTGTACGTTAACCCCTGAACATGGTAGTCAACATGTCAGACAGACCTATGAACTGACCTTTATATGTGAGTAGGCAACAAGATAAGAATATTTCTGTCTTAACCAAAAGGACCTCCATGCTTCTTTTCAGTGTGCTTGTGTGACATGCAGAGAAAGGAGGAGCAGAAGCATCCCCCTGACTTTACCTCTGAAGTCGCTCCCTTCTGAGCAGGAAGCAGTCAGCAAGGTAATCATCTGCCAACCATTGAGAATCCTTTGCAAACTTTCAATAATTCCTGCTTGTTCTAAAGATGCAGACATTAAAGTCCCTCTGTCTTCATACAGAACTGATTCTGATTGTTTTCTAAACTCCCTTGCATCTAGTGTGACACATAATGAAGTAAATTGATTTGAGCAAAATAAATGAGAAAATCATGGGAGGAGAAGAAAACATCTGAGCTGCTGCTCATTCTCCTTATATGGTCATGTCCTTTACCAAGCTGGAAGTCACTGGATGCTACAAGGGCTACTAGGGTGAGGCTCAGCCCCCTTGGAGACAAACTGAGCTGCACGCACATGTGCATGTGGAGTTCAGCCTCTTTGGCTTCCTCTTGCATCTCACGTTTTTGCATGAAATACTGCAGTTTGTTCTAGAACAGTGTTTCCTGATGAAGCCTTTCAGGGATGTAAACCACTGCAGCTCCTCTCTTCTTTGTTTGTGTAGCTAAGCAGTGTGTGAGCAATCTAATCTGGACTTCTTAACAGAGGGAAGATAAAGGCTGTAGATGATAGTGTTGAAACCTTAACTTGTTAAATCAGCATACATCTCTGGGTAATAACAAAACACTGAGGGGACAGTCTATCTCCCAGTCTTAGTTTAACGAAGTCAAGAACTCTGTAGATGTAATGATGACCCAAAAGTACTATGCCCCTTTGAAAGTGAGGAAATCAGACTGTCTTAAAGTATCTATATTCATTATTGTACCTTTTGATTTTCAGTGCAGAAAATTTGGTTTGCTCTTCAAGACGAAAAAATGGTAAGAGATCTTAATTGTCTTAATAGAGTTATAGGATCTTTTAGGTTGAAAAAGACCTATAAGATCATCTGGATCACTACTGTCTACCACTAAACCACGTCCCTTTGCTTTTGGGTAATTGTCAGTCAATTTCCAATCCGTTTGATATTGTCTGTGTTTTAAGTACTAACTTGTCCTCTTTTTGGGCAATTAAATAAAATGGGCCTGCAACAACACGGAGTTTCACTGTGATTTTATGTAACAGAACTATATAATGAGTTAAGAAGAGTCAAGAGTTTTTATCTAGAACACATAATATTTTTTGTTGATATTTTACTGTGATCAGTATTATTCATCAGAAGGCCAATGTGAGCACTCACAGAAACCTCTAGCAATTATTTCCAAAGGTAGACTTTCAACAAAACTGCATTTCAGAACTCAAAGAAACCAATTGTGTTTCCTCAAGCACAGACAAGGGAACAGGAAGGCCAAAGCCAGAGTATCTGATGACTTTAGGATATGAAAAAAAACCTGACGTAATATAGGTACCTGCATAGATTTTAATCACTAAACAAAGAAATAAATTCACATTAACTTATTTTTAAACCAGGGAATCACGTTGTGTATTTTGAGCCATGGTTAAGGCCTTTGTAAGTTTTGGAGGATGTATCTGTGACATTTTGTAGGAGCTTCCCTACAAAGCCAACAACAGCAAACATTTGCAGCATACCTTCTGTTCATGATGTGAGGGTGCCTGTGGATGTTTGCACAACTTTTGAAGGTGCATTTAAAAGCCATCTTCAAAACCCTGCCCTCTGCAGGCTTTTGGCTTCATGTCTGAAAGGGAGCTGTCTTGTTACTTGCAGCTCTATCTAATTTCAGGCATCTTCAGTGAGGAGTGGGCAAAAAAGATGGAAAAAATTATCTCCCCTAGTCCATACAAAGATGTAGTGTTGTTCTCTAGGAACAAACCTGAGCATTTCATCTTTTCCTGTTCTGCTTCGTGTGCATAATGGTCAAGACATGTCTATTTATGAAGTAGAAGCAATATAATTACTGAGTGATGCTGTAAGCATGATGTAAGATACTTGACGCTGTGTTCCAGCCAGGAAGACCTCGATGTACGGCTGGGCTTTGACCTGTGTGCTCAGGAACAGGATTTCATTTGCAAAAGGAAGAAGGTTGTTGCGGCTGCTCTGAAGGACATTCTTCAGTTGGAGGAGGACTTGGAGGACGATGAGGTAGCTGAGACGTAATTATTCTTTGCTTTCTTTGCAGCTGGATGTCAAAATATACATTTGTATTCATTTTTTCTTACTTTCAGGAAATCAGGAAGTTTAATGTGCTTGCTATAGCTATAACATTTGTTATTCTACAGAATAAATGAGTACTCATAGGGAAGATTAATAAAATCCTCAGAGAATTGAGTTAGAAAGGACCCTGAAAGGTCACCTAACGCAGTTATCCTGCAGTGAACAGGGACGTCTACAGCTAGATCAGGGTAGAGTAAGTAAAGTATTCACAATGCAATACATACCAAGTATTGTGCTTACATACAAGGAGGTTGGGTGCACATGGCTCCTCTTTCCCTCCAGAGTTATAAAAGGGGATGGGGTCATTACTTTCTGGTCTCATTTGGTCTGAATTGGTCAGTGCTCTCTTAAAATCATCAGTTAAGATACATCTAGTATTGTCATGAAATACTTATGCAATAGTAGGGATAAGCTTTATCATGCTTAACATGAATAACAGATTGTTGTTACTCACAAAGAAATAGTGAGACAACACCCATGTTTTCTGGTCTGTTGCATCTGGTAAAAATCTGGTTCAGGTAGCAAGAACTACCTTTTCATGCTCAATCATTATTTTTGGTTTTGCAATAGCACACTGAAATTTTGACGTTTGAGATAGTGGATCTCATGTCCAATTGCACAATTTCTTGGCAGAAAAAACAAAATCACAGAATGATTGAGGTTGGAAGGGACTTCTGGAGCCAACTGATCCAACCCCTTCTCAAGCAGGAACACCCAGAACAGGTTTCTCAGGGCTATGTTCATTTGGCTTTTGAAGATCTCTAGGAGAGAAACTCCATAATCTTTCTGGGAGTCTCTTATTCCTTCTGTGCCCCATTACAAATTCAGGTCTTTCTTGTCCTTGCAGACCACTGGTATGCAGCAGCTTTATTACTTTAGCAGTGTTGTAACACTCTCTTTTCTAATCAATGACGTATTTTGCACATATTTTGGGATTGAACAGGTACCTGTGGTGGCAATCATGACCACGGGTGGTGGAACGAGAGCTCTGACAGCCATGTACGCTCACCTTCTGAGCGTGCAGGAACTGAATGTCTTGGACTGTGTTTCCTACGTCACCGGTCTGTCTGGCACAACATGGTAAGGCCAAGTTAAACAAAGTTTTCATTTGTTTGCCATAAATGATTTCTGTGAGTGACTCAGAGTTACAGTGGTGAGCTGCTAGTTGGAGCCTCATTTGAATATCTAGTGGTTACTACCTGCAACACCAGAAGCCATCATTGTTCATAGCATTTTTGGCCAGCGCTATTAAGAAAAGGCTTTCCTCTTCTGCTGTAGCTTTTTCTCATTTCCTTCAGTAGGTATTTGTTAGCATCTGGAGCTAAGGCAGTCCTGCTTAAAGATGTTTGTGGTACTGCATACATGTGTATTTTGTTATGAAAATCAAGACATGATACAAAAACCTCCACAATTTCCTAAAGCTCAGCTTGAGATTTCACACTGTGTTTCTTTCTTCTTTAGGACCATGGCAAACTTGTATGAAGATCCTGACTGGTCACAGAAGAATCTTAAGAAAACACTCAATGATATCCGAAGGCACGTGCTTAAAAATAAATTCTTGGCTTGTTTTGCTCCAGACCGTCTGAAATACTACTTGAAAGAGTTATGCCAAAGGAAACAGGAAGGACATCAGATAAGTTTCACAGATCTGTGGGGACTCATCATTGAATCTATGTTCCATGACAAGGTATAACAGAAGGACTTTTCAGATTTGTATACTTAATGGATACAGTAGTGAGGGCAGAAGTAAATCAGAGTGGCTGAGGTTGGAGTTTATCTGCAGTCCAACAACTCTGCCTGCGCAGCTATGGAGCAGGTTGTCCAGGATTGTGTCCAGTCAAGTTCTGAATACCTGTGTAGGTGGAGACTCCACAACCCCCTTAGGAAACCTGTTCCATTGTCTGACCACACTTTTCTCAAGTGGCAGAAGGTTGGTTGGTTTTCAGATAAATGCCTCAACAACATGCCTTGTCAGTATCATGTTCATGTGTTTGCTGACTGTATTATGCAGACATTAACGTCACACCTGGGACAGATAGGGTGGGAATAAAAATAAATAATAGAAAACTTCTAGTATGAACAATTTAATTAACAACTGAATTAATGTGTAAATACTAAAGTGAAAATCCTACTGTTCTTTTCCAAAAGAGCTACACAGTGTGAGAAGGCAAAGAAAAAGCACAGCTTCCTCTGAAGCTTTGCCACCACTCCCAAACCATCCTCTATCTTTCTTAACCATGTCAGATGCTCCACAGCAGAAGCATAAAGGGACAAGCCACGCTGACTATTAACTCTGTCTGGGCTTTGGCATAGACCTGAAGAAAGGAGGATCTTCTGAGATGCTAAAGACAGAGATTACTCTTTCTGAATGAAATATTTAATGCCAAAAGTATTTTTCAAATATTTCCAGACTTATTTTTCTTTTAAGATAATGTAAATGACCTTTAAAATCTCAGTTTTTTTCGTCATGTGAACTTAGACCATATACATAGACAGTCCATATCACGAGGACTGTTTGTGTGCTGTAGTGCTGAGATGGAGGAGGGTCAGAGAGAGGAATCAGAGCATCTCCCTATATTAAAGCAGTGGGGAACGTCGTAGTTAGTCTGGGATGCTCTTTGTTGTCAGGTTTAGATGAAGGTGAGAAGCTCTTTGTGTCATCTGCCTGTCCTCAGCTACTTCTTTCTTCAAAACAGGAGGACACCCAGAAGCTCACAGATCAGCAGCAGGCACTAAACCGTGGTCAGAATCCCCTGCCCATCTACCTCTCCCTCAATGTGAAGGATAAAATCAGCGACCAGGATTTTAGAGGTAATCATACTTCTGAACTGCTTTTAACTTTTAATCCCATAAAGGAGTCCATTTAGGTTCAACTAGATAAATCAATTAAGTGCACAAATCCCCTTAGGGACCAATTCACCTAGAAGTAGATTTTTAATAGTTAGATCTTTAAGTCCTCAGTATATGGATGATAGAGAACATTATCCTGAAATTACCTGCTCAGCATGTCAGTAGAAAGTGCCATAAAACCTGAAGTTTGCAGACACATTTAGATGTAAGGAGGCAATTCACTCTTTATGTTCACAATGCGAAATACACAGTGAATAAAATAGCTGTCTGCTGTAACCAGAACCAGACTTCCTTAAATTGGCTAAATATCATATGTTTTATTCAACTAATTTGAGCCTCTGCTGCTTGTAATCAACCTGTTGTGTGCTTTTCTTTTCAGAATGGGTGGAATTCACTCCTTATGAGGTAGGATTCCTGAAATATGGTGCCTATATTCGTGCAGAAGATTTTGGCAGTGAGTTCTTCATGGGTCATCTGATGAAGAAAATCCCAGAATCCAGAATCTGCTTTTTGGAAGGTAACTTTTTGACCTGGGTAAATGTGATGTAATATAATCCATCCTGGGCAAACCCTTCTTCTGAAATGAGTCATTTATCACATTTTTATCTACCAGAAGAATTTGTTAAAACATAAGAATTCATAACAGGTCACCACCTGGAGGACTCTTATTTTCTCTGAAACATTGTTCAATAGAACAGATTTATTTGACTTCATATATGTTTATGCTTACTGACATGAGACCTTTGTATTATTTACATACCTTTGCCAGCAACAGAACTTGTCTAATATCATAGGTAATTTAAATTAGCAATCTGTTTTTAGCTTAAGACTCTGCAGGAAAGCCTTTTCTCCAAAATGTTACTGCTGCAGCAAAAACTGATCAGTCCTCCAGGACACTTCCATTTTGGATTGTAAATAGATCTTAGCAGCTACTTTTTTTTTTTTCCCTATCTTGCACAAGAACACTCAAATCTCTAAGAAATGCTTTTTTCCCTTTGCGAAAGCAATCTCTTGCCTCATTGTTCTTCCAACTTCCAGCAATTGCACAAAGGAAGTTTCAGGGGTGTTTGGAGAAGTTAAGATTTTTTTGCCTGTGTGGAGATTTCACTGTAGCTCATGAGGAGGCACAAGGAAGCAGTTTGATGTCAGAACATCCCCTTGCCTGCAGATATCCAACAGAGTGCCTGTATGTCCTCTTCCTTGGCCAGAAATGTCAGCAGGTCACCAGCACCCATCCTACACCTCTTTCCTTGGCATTCTCCACTTCTTCAGAGCAATGCTGGGACATTTCTGTCTCTGTTTCCAGCCACTGACCCAGAGTCCCCTTATTCAGTGTTACTTATTTCAGTGACACAGTTATTCCAAAGGTTTTCTGCAAATGAAGCAAACTGCTTGGCACCTCAGCCCCTAAACAGAGCAGGGACTGACCGTGTAGGTCCTTGTAGCTCCTTCCTACACAGCAGAACCTTTTCTGCACAAAGGGTCAAGGCCATGGCCAAGCTGCCTGTGTGCAGCCCTTTCTCAGTTTACTCAGTTTCTCCCAAAAATTCCAGGTTTAGTTCTGCATTTTGGAGGGTATAGCAAGGCACTGCTGCAAATACAGTATATGCAACTACAACAGGGAGTGAGGGAGTGGTGTTTTGTTACCCTGAAAGATTGCAGATGGGTGGCAGTCTGGGTTGCCATTACATTCGCTCTTTGATTTATTCCTTTTTTTTTTTTTTTAAACCATTTAACATATGTTGATGGATGGAAAAACTGAAAAATATAGTTCAGATATACCCAGAAGACAAATAAAAAAGATTTATGCTCTTAGAATTCCTACTTCCAAAAGCTGTAAGTCAGTCTTCTCATTCTGACTCTTAAATATTTCCTGGCAGTCCTGTGTGACAGTTTTGTACCTGTAACAGGGCTATGTGCTGTTAAATAAATAAAGCCTTTAGAACTACAAATACCGGGAACTTGAGAACAGGAAATGTTGAGGGCAGCTGGAAAATACTAAATTTACTTGACAAGATGATATTTGCAACATTACAAAAATGTATATTTTAGCAGATAGATCGAAAATACTGCCAGCTCTGCTCATACATACTGATAAATCAAATTCTTTATATACATTGTGGATTCATATACTGATTCATAACGATGATTCCTTTTGTTTACCCACAAAAGTAATGTAATGAATAGTTTGCAGGAGAATGAAGGAAATAATGAAGGTCATTGTAAATGAAAATGCTTCCAGATCTTTACTGGTTTCCTCTCTGCCAAATATATCCTATGCCATAGGGATCTGGAGTAGTGTATTTTCCCTGAATCTTTTGGATGCTTGGTACATATCTGTTCATTCCGAAGACTTCTGGCACAAGTGGACCCGAGACAAAATTACTGACATTGGTGAGTTATTTTTATACCATAATGTTTCTTCTTTCTTCTTTCTTCTTTCTTCTTTCTTCTTTCTTCTTTCT